GTATAATGTATATNTATATGTATATGTATATGTATATGTGTATGTATATGTATATGTATATGTATATGTATATGTATATGTATATGTATATGTATATGTATATGTATATGTATATGTATATGTATATATATATATATATAATCCTTCGATTTGTATGAACGAGCAGTTTAGATAAACACGAATAGGTTGATATGGATCGTACATATATCTCAACAGTGAAATGAAAAGGAATAGATATTGGACACAAGTGTCGCCTTGCTTGATCACTGTCTGAAAGTGCTTCGCGTGCGTGCCATAGTAGCTCGTTGTCCCGTATTATCAACCGATCGATTTTTTTTACCATTAATATGATGGATCGACGATCTGTTTTGATCTAATAGACCCTTGTTCTTGTCCGGTATACGCCCAAATCGCCCGTGTTGTCATATTGACACACTTTACTGGACCAATTCAGTGCGTTTGAATCCCCCTGGTCTCGTTCCTAAATATGCAATCCTTCATCGGATGCCAAATATTATTGTTCTCGATTTATCTTTCTAAATGCACGCAATACTCGTTCACTCGCACTAACCTGCCAGAATATAATACTATCACTTGACCTGAATAGACTATCAACTCAAGACTTTCAATTTTCTTCAAATTTATCCTTTTCTAGAACTTCCAAGTGTCGTACAATCATCACGGAGTGGTGCTTTTCATCCCCAATCCACGATCAATCGGTCGTCGCATAGCCAAGAAAGTATATCAGTTTAGGAACCATGTGGTTTCTAGTCTGTATCCACTGCCCATCCAATTGGTCTATGTTGTCAGTATAGGTATGTTATGATTATTGAGTGTATATGCGAGGTGTAAGTAAAGTACTGTGCGGTTCTGTTCAGTTTGTGTGGCCAGTGTAAAAAAACTGACTTCTGTATATATCCACGGGGTTTTATAGACAGTCGAACTGCATAATTTATACTGGTATATATATGTATATATGTGTGTGTGCATGTGTGCATGTATGTGCGTGTATGTGTGCATGTATGTGCGTGTGTATTTAATATCGTCATATGATTGCCGGTAGCCTATTGAATTCGTAGATCAAGAACATACAAAGCAAGTGATTGCATAGAGTGTCTTTTTATTTGACGGACATTAAGTTCTTGTGTGCGAGGTCAATCCAAAGTTTGTCTGATTTGTGTTGGTACATGAGTTGTTCGTAAATATACGCGATCGTCACTCTGATGTCTCAATGTCACAGCATGAAATTCTATTTTGTGAACTATATTCGGAGCTGAAATCGTCGGCTTTATGTTGCTGATCATGAGATGAACATCGATCGAAAGGTCTGTGCGCGTTGCTATAAGACAAGTGCATAAAACAAGCATGTGTTTATGCAGGTTTACTGTGACAATATAAGGTTAATTATATATATTTTTTAAATATGTGTCCACAGCTTACATCGGCTTCATGTTGGATGCCGACCGAGAGGGCTGGTGGCGCAACAATGCCATCGCAGACTTTGTTTGGGCTGTAGACAGCAAAATGAACCTCTTATCAAGCCACCTGCCGATAGCCGTTCGTGTTGCGTAAGTCTTTATATTTTGCATGTTGGGAAGATTGCACGAGCCTGATACAATGCATATGTGTATGACAGTTCTGCGTGCACAAGTATTGGCATATATGGGCAAATCACGGGCATGTGTTCATATCGGTATACGAATGTGTGATATCTTTGGTGTTTGGCGATGTATTTGCTTTTAACCTGTATGTTTAAACCAGTACAGAAGTCAGATCGAGAAATTGTTCACAGGCAAGCAGAGCTTTAAGGAATTGTGTTCGCCAATAAGGCTGCTATATGTTGATCATACCTGAATCTGACAACTCTCGATCCCTGAGTACTGTAAAGTGAGCTTATTTATTAGTTTCGCTTGTAGCACGCCCGTCCTGCCATATAACGATTGGTATTTGGCGTATGCACTAGCTTGTAGTAGCAATATATCAGGCGTCTCATTTCATCCCTCAGCAAGTGCACAGTGTCTGATCTACTTCTCAGTATTAGTAGTCACCTACCTACCTAACACGCAGAACCTCGTCCACACACAACTGACAATGCCGCGTCTCGACTCTCCTGTCTTATACAGATACCAGTCAGCCATTGTGGGCGTGCTTGTAATAATGATTTTCATGTACATTCATCGGCTTCTGCTGAAGGTCCTTCTGAGCTACCAGGGATGGATGGACGCTCCCAAAAGTAAGATGACACTCGCTTGGGGTGCGATGTTGAAGATCTTCTATCTAGGTATGTCATCTGATTCGATTGGGTGTGTAGGGTTTGGTATGTGTAATTTTTTACATACACAAAGGACTATCCTGTGCGCGTATATGTACGTAAATGGGATGGATGCATCTCAGGTCATGCCCATGCATATTTGTCAGTGACAAAATGTTTATTTGCATCACATATTGGTACTATTATCGACAAACGGTGTATTATTATCTCTGTGCAGGAGGTGGTCGTCAGCCAAACACGTACAGTTTCAACGTAGCCATGCCTACAATGCCTATCCCCTCGGCCAAGGACACTGTAGCACGGTATCTCAAGAGTGTTGAGGTTTGTCTCTCACCCTCAAAGTATCAGTACATCAAGGAGCTAGCGGACGAATTCTTGGCCTCCAGCGAATTGACCAAGGTGTGTGTGTGTACCATGTTTATCAATCAATGCATACGTATATACCTGATTCATGATAATCTATGTATCCATGGTATTATTTAAATGTAGAGGCATTTTTTGCTTGAAGGTTTTCGATGTTTTACTTTAGATTCAGAGAATGAAATAGAAATAAAAACGTACATACATAAATACACGAGGTATATGCAGATGTACATGTATACGTATGTATATCAATATCTGTTTGAATAGATTTGTAGATATATATGTTGTATATAAATTTCCAACAACTTGAGCGAGAACGAATATGTATATATTCACGTACCAGAGGTGGCACTTATATCTCCCATTGAACTCACAGATGCAAGGACTTCTGCACGTCAAGAAGCTGATGACTAGCAACTACGTATCTGATTGGTGGCTGAAGTACGTGTACCTGCGTGGACGCTCTTCTCTTCTGATCAACTCCAACTACTACGGACTGGGTTTCGCGTCCCATTTGCCCAGTAAGAAACAGGTAATATCAGGTTTGTGCTACTGTGTAGCAGATATGACGTCGTAGCGCCCGAAATATTCAAATAGCTTTCGATGTCCCTGTACTTGATGTAGTGTGTGCTGTTTGATCATGGTTGCTGTGGTTTGTTTTATTGTGTATTGTTCAGCGTATAAGCTCTCCGGTCCAGTCGAAATCGGTCGAGTGGTGTGACCGCACAATGCGTGTGGTGTTCCCTTCAGTCAATTGCGTACATGCACACCAGCGTAGTTCAACCCCGACTCAGCGAATTGTGTTGCTTGCCATGATGAACCCTTCTACGCTGTGTGCTTCTGCTTCGTCGTTTTGCTTCTATGTGCACCTCCTTTGACCTTTCCTTTTCCCTTTCCCTTTCCCTTCCCTGCCCACACAGACTTCTCGCGCCGGTTTCCTCACACACGAGTTGATCGTGCTCAAGACCATGCTAGACCGAGAACAGTTGGAGCCCCTGCTAATCCAGAAGCTAGTGCCCTTGTGTATGAACCAGTATCAGTTTATGTTCAGTGCGACACGAGTGCCCCACAGAGAGGCAGATGAAATCCGACAATACGACTCGGGTGAAAGCAGGCACGTGGTGGTGAACTACAAGGGCCTGATGTACAAAATGGAGGTGTTCGACAAACAGACCGGCGAGGTGTCGACCCCGCATCATCTGGTATGTGTTATATATGTATATATATACATATACATATATACACACACATATATATATATATATATATATATATATATATATATATATATATATATATATATATATATATATATATATATATATATATATATATATAAAATATATATATATAATATATATATATATATATATATATATATATATATATATATATATATATATATATATATATATATATAATATATATATATATACAATATATATAATATATATATATATATATATATATATATATAAGAAAGAGAGATGTATATGCGTGTTGAATTTTGGACTGAGAAGTTCTACAGATGTTCATGCTCACAAGCATGAATCAGAGTGTCCCGTGTATAATTGGAAAGGATGATATGTTTTTGTATACGGCTAAATGATTTCGCCTTTCTTTATGCAAATACATAGGAACGCAGTCTTGAGTACATCGTCCAGCACGCCGACCACCGTCTGGCCAGTGAGAACTTCAGCGAAGCCGATCTGTCTATTCCAGCGCTAACAGGTAAGCCAGATGTGACCGGAATATCAAGCCAAATTAAATATATCCATCCATTTTAATTATCATCAATTAATTTAGCCAATCTCTAAGGGCAGTACTGTATTGCCTCGCTAAAAGGTACAAGAAAATTGTCGGTTATGCTGATCCTCTCGCCCATCTCAACGAGTAAAATAAGCTGTAGGGACATTTCAAGCCATAGTATCGTTTGTAATAAACAACCTATTTCTTCATCGGTGGTAGGTGCCAACCGAACGGTGTGGGCCGAGGCAAGGGACAAGCACTTCTCAGCCGGTGTGAATCGAGCATCTCTTAATCTGGTGGAGAATAGTATCTTCACGCTTTGTCTAGACGATCACGAGCCTCAGACCTGGACAGAGCAGGTGGGTGGGCATGGCCAACACATTACCTGGTGTTGTGTATATACTAATATAACTCTACTTTTATACACTTGTGTTTGTATCTATATCACTCCTTAGTAAGTATTCCCTTATTCAGTCAGATGTATCCATCCTAAGGCTGGTGTATATCGAATATGTCAAATGTATTAGCAAATGGCAGCTAAGTATGATATAGGTTCTCGATAAATTCTCCCATAGTGTTTCACGTCCACCGTCTTCCTATATAGTTATATATACTTTCTTAATATATTGTTGTATAAACTTCCTTCCTATATAGTTATATGCTTCCTCCCTATATAGTTGTATAAACTTCTTCCCTATATAGTTGTATACACTTCCTTCCGATATAATCATATAGACTTCCTCTCTATATAGTAATATATACCTCTCTATATAGTAATATATACCTCTCTATATAGTAATATATACTTCCTCTCTATATAATTACATATACTCCTCCCTCTCTATACAGTTGAGTATAATTCCCTGTAAACTGCACGCATATTGATGTTATCTCACCATCTCACCATATCCTTCGTGTCATCCATTACAGGGCAAGAACCTGCTGCACGGCGACGGCACCGGACTGTGGGCCGATAAGTCGTTTAATCTGGTGGTGTTTAGGAACGGTATTGCTGGTATCAATGGCGAGCACTCATGGGGAGATGCCCCTGTGGCCGCTCATATGTGGGAAACGGTCTCTGGGCGAGAGATCAAATCGTATGTGCAATAGTAGTCTGTACGTTAGCACAATGCGATATATATATATAGTATGTTATTAGATCATTTATGTCTATACATGTCAGTTCGTATTTTGTCAGGTAATATATATCTGCATATATGCGAAAATGTATTTGTGTCGAGGTGCAGATATCCACAAGTAGTATAAATTTTCTTATGGATATACTACTGTTTTTTTTATCAATACAGAGACCCTTATGATCGCAAAACTGGATGTTTGAAGCCATCCACAGCCGAGGAAGACAAGGATCTGGTGAGCACAGACAGCCTGGCAACACTCTTGACCAAGAATCTGGTATGATTGAATATGTACACTGTCACTATGCTTTTCTTTTTTTGTTCTCGTTTTGCATTACACGTACATGGTTCATGTTCATACTTCCTGATTAACCCTATGATATTCGATAGATACTGCGTGTGATGTTACCAATCTTGGAACATTTTCAAAGTTTGTTGATATATCTAGTTGATTCACTGCCAGCTCTCATACCTGAGGTTCCCTTGTTGGATTTTATCAAATAAAGGACGCGGAAGCCAAAAAAGGATCTGTTGTAAGTGGAAAGGCACGGGTGCCAACGGCCGTGAACTTCCGCATGAACCCTGACCTGGAGAAGACTATTCTAGAGTGCAAAGTACGTGATCAGGATTACGGCTTGGGACCAAGAATTCGATGATTGTGTGCGTGTGCCTCTGTTTATGTATTCAGAGTGAATTGTGTGTATGTATATTTTAGTCGCCTTTAGTCTGTTGATCTATAAACCTTCGTATAGCTCGTTTTTAGGTATACGTTCTTGGCTGTCTATGCGTGAAAGCCATTACAGTAGTCTGTGTGGCCATATGTATCGCCTCCGTAACCAACACATTATATTCTGCTTGTGCTAGCGGATACTAGCGTGAACTGATTCATCAGGATGTAATGTGCCTATTATTGCATTGAGCTATACCTCGTATGTATACACGCAAATATTTGCTTACACGCAATCTATATATCTTATGAAATCAAAGCTTGTTTATAAACACAAATCTAATCGATCTGAATATCGCTGTCCCGCATTCGCAGGCCGAAATCATCGCCGCGGGAGAGGATCTGGAACTCAACGTGTTCAGCTTTGACAAGTTTGGTAAAGATCGCATCAAGAAGGTGAAGTGCTCGCCCGACGGTTTCATCCAGATGGCGTTTCAACTGGCGTACTACCGCGAAGCTAAGATTCACCCACTTACCTACGAGTCCTCTATGACCCGCATGTTCAAGGACGGTCGCACGGAAACCATCCGATCGTGCACCTCCAAGGCCGCAGCGTTTGTCAAGGCTTGTGAGGACCCGAAGGTAAGCAAGGCGGAGACGCTGGAGTTACTGCGAGACGCGTGCAGGAACCACAGCGAGATCAGTAAGGAGGCCATGAAGGGCGAGGGTGTGGACAGACACTTGTTTGCGCTGTATGTGGTGGCCATGGGATTGGGTGCGGAGTCTAAGTTCTTGTCTGAGGCTCTGAATATGAAATGGAAGCTATCCACCAGCCAACTGCCGCAACGACAGGTGTGTGCGTGTTTCAGGGCTCAATTTTTCATACAACAATACTGTTGATAGAAGTAACTGATGTATTTTTTTAGTGGAGTGGTTTTGATCTCTATACTTTTCGTTACTCTTTCCAGTAAACACGGAAGCGATATATACTTGTATATATATATATGCATATACTTAATACATCTATTTGCATTATAAAGGGTGATCCGGCGGATTGGGGAGGCAAACATGTACAGCAGGACGACAAGTACTTCTCTCCCAGCGGTGGCTTTGGCCCAGTCGATGACAGTGGCTACGGAGTGTCGTATAATATCGCAGGTAAGGTTTATGTATACAAGTCTGAAGTATAATATGTATGTGCTGGTTTAGTATATTACAGTGTTTCAGGTATGGTTTATGCATGTGTGTATATATGTATATATGTATGTCTGTATACTAGTTGTATGGTGGTTTAGTATACTACTGCGTTGTAGATAAGATTATGATTAGGACTGATCAGCGTTTGCTTATATGCTGGGCTGCTAGTAGGGTACAATATTGCAGGTATGTGTTTGATTAGGATTTATCAGTGCAGTGTATGATACGTATATACTATGTTGGTATACACAACGATATTGCATGTGTTTGTGTTTATACGTGTTGACAATATGCATGCTACATATCCTCGTCATCATTCGTATTTGAACGTTTATAGTATTCGGAGTATAATCTCAAGTTCTAGGCTGTTTTTTTGGTGTCGTATCAGAGTACTCCGTGAACGTAGCTAGTTCGCCTTTCGTACATATATAGTCCATAGTCGGGAGAATATAGTTTCGAGGTCTGGACCTTAATATAGCAAAGGGGATCGTGTCAATCGAGTTATTTATATTGTATATTGCATTCTAATTTCTAACTTGCAGGTGAGAAGACGATTTTCTTCCATGTGGCGAGTAAGAAATCTTGCCCAGAAACAGATTCAGTCAAGTTTAGTGAGAATATCCAAAAGGCATTGCAGGACATGGCCGATCTTCTCGAGGACTAGTATAAATAAATCAGTGTTACTAGATAAATAAATATAGCCACTTAATCTGTAATGCGACTAACCGCGTTGAAAGCCAATTGACCTCAACGGATGGGAAAGCAGTATTTTAATGGCGTATACATATTGACGTTGATATACTTACTGTGTACAGGTTGTGAGATATGTGTATGTTGTAATGTGACCAATGACAAAGGTAATTTGTTGTTTAGGCTCATTGATGCAAAAGATGACTGTCGTTTATTCTGATGCATGATGTGTGTGCAGTGCGTAAATTACAAGTGTGCAAAATGTATGCTTTGTATTTATCAAGGTTCCATGCCGTCCGCCATTCGCTTCAGGTATTAGGTATCTTTGTGTCGTGTTCTTTATAGCCCATTTTCTGCTGTATAGAATCTTGCTGTCAGAATTTCTATATCGTATTTGGTTTGAGACGCGTGCCATTGATACAAAGTACATATTGATTGAAGTGTATCTACCATTTTGCATTGAACACATTTCGGCATTGAGACACATAAGTTGTCACAGAAGCACGTAAGTACATAGATAAATGTACACAGCCAACGAGGAGCTAACCTGTTGAATTGAACCAGAAATGCTTCCATATTGTATACGTATGCGAGAGACATGTATCAAGATTGCAAAGAGAATTAGAGCAGAATATCACCTATTGCATATGCTTAGCTGAAAATTTGAAGCGTATGAGTTACCACTTTGGCCAAGACTCGAAGCTCTTCCCGGATTTACAAGCGTGTACCTTCCTCCTTGCAGGTCGACTATGAAAGCTCTCAAGTATTCCCTTGTGCTTAGATGTACGTGATGTTCTGATTCACTATCATAATATACATGACATCGCAGTCTAGAGTAAGTGCCTACTCAGTTGCCTAGTCGCGGTCTCACTTCAACTACCAAGGGACTAGCGGCGGTGAATAACTAAAATAGTAAGTTAATGCCTTCACAGCGAAGCTGTGTATAATTTAATATCAGGAAGAAAGGCCTGGAAATAGTAAACCCCAATAAGGCTGGTGTCCTTGGGAGAACCTGAAAACTGGAAGGAGCAAGACATGGACCGCCAGGGACATCATAGCAAGAGATTCGAGTAGGGCACGTGTCGTATAAATAAGGGGAGCAAAGTTCGACGACCCTCATTTAGATACAACCGCCAACCAAATTTTGAAACACCAATTGATCTTGAATAGTAATCAACTTTGTCGTCCAACTCTTCTACTGAAGAATGGAACATCACCACCGGGAAAATCACCGATTTGCAAGCCGAGCAGGAAGATGACGAAAACTCCTCCCAAACAACCCAGGACGCGGCCACGCCCTCGTCTACCAAGAGCAACGAAGGCCAACCCAAAACCAGGATTGATTCTTTGCTAAACAAATTTGATGTTCTTGTACCCAACAGCTCATCATCCACATGAGCCTTGAAGAAATCGCCTAAGGGAGCACTAACACAACACCACCAAGTGTTGCTGCGCCACCAATCTCTGCGCCACCAATCTTCAATCTAACTCCAATCCCTACACCTCCAGACACTATAATACTTGCGCCTTCGATGAACGCTCCCAGTGTCTTGAGTCTTCTCCGTGAGGCCTATAACTGGTCCCTGGTGTCCAATTACCAGTACTAGTCCCCTCCCTACCACCTCAGCCCTCGCTACTTACTCCAACCCTAATTGATCCGTTACCGCTGCCGCAGCTTCTCAACTGCTTCTCACTCCATCTACCGATGCCGCATCTTTTGAGCTTATTGCCAGGTTTCATCGAATGCTCCACGGTCAGAAGGACTCCATGGAATCTCAGTTATCCAGAATCGAACAACTCTCCGGTCAAATCTCTAACATCTCACGCCAAGGAATCGGGATGTCTATGCGCCGAACAATAGAAAGCACCTCATCACCTGTTGGCGAGTCTAAGCCAAACTCAACGCGAAACTTTCTAACTCAAGACCACTCAGGACAAGTTATTTTTTGCAGGAACGAAGAAACGTAATAGATCGCTGCCAAGTATCGAAAATGATATTGACGTGCTTGCATACGAACAAAGCAACATGCACATTCGTAGCAAACGCGAGAAGTTCACAACGGTCGACGATATAAAGTTTGTACGAATCAGATTTAGTTATATGTGGATACTCATACCTGGTTTAAGCACTGATGAAGCTGCTGTTGGTGGCATGGTATAGTACCTGATCATGATGAGTAGTTGGCTTTAACTGAAGCTGCTATTGGCGACATGATATAGTACCTGATCATGATGAGTAGCTGGCTTAACTCTCTTATCTACATTCTTAGCAGTAGACAAGAACCGCATACCACCCTCGTCTTGCCAACTATGTTTCCTAGAAAGCCTCTACTGTAACTGCATTAACAATCTTACATTGGAAAATACATTCACATCAAACACCATCACACCTAGCCTACACTCTGGCAATAACTACAACAGCAGTGAAGCAACTGTCGATATTTACACGAGTGTGATTTTCCAAGGTGTAAAGACCCAGCTATACACGCTAGCCCTGCTCGCACTTGCGCAGACAATTGATTGCTGAAAAAGTATTATTCTTTGGCATCACAGCAGCCCTCAACGCTTCGAACGTCTCGAAATTGCACTTGATTTTTCCTTCAATACCACAGGTGTGCCGTAGATGTAATGCAGACAGCGATCGAGGTGATAACATTTGACGAGAGTGATCATCAGCAATGCGATACACCAAGTACATGTTTATCCGACTTTTAAAAAACGACTGTTTCACAAAATATCATGTGCGCTTACTATGGCTAACTTTTCGAGTGACCTCTTTGAGGCGTGTGTGAAAATTTTAGATCGAAATTTGGATTTTTGGTCGGGTTTGAGAACAATTTTTAATCATGCATGATGAATTTCTAACTGTAAAAACAAAAGAAAAAATGGCCGCAGAATCTGCTATTTATGTCTTATCACCTTGAGGGAATGATATCAGCGAATTGATCACTACTACAACTGATTGTATTATCATTGATTGTGTGAAATTCTAATTATTACGTCATTGCCTCGCAAGACTTCTCTCTTGCATTTCTACGGGGTATAAAAGCGAAGGAAACAGCAGGTTCTTTGAACAATGTGTTCTTCACGTCTATGAATAGTGAGCTGTAGACTTTACAACCCCACGGCAGATCACATCGTGTATCATGGCGAATCAAGAATAAGAAAATATCATATATCAACAGCAGGATTTAATGGTTAACTTGCAGGCCCAAAGTGCACAACTGCAGAATCAGCTTATCAAGATAACACAAGACTCAACCACAGTAGCATTATGTCAGTCGATGGCTGCTGTGCAGTCGTTCGGCAACGTTGAATATCTGGTTCCAGACGCTTCAAGGGTTTTTGAACGACAAACCCGTGAATAAAAAATATACAAGTTTTTGTACAACGAGTTCAGGCCCGAGTAGCCCTACAGTTCAACGTATCTACGGGCGAGATACTTGAGTTGTTCTCGATGCTTATCTGTCGAAACGTTGAGTTTCCAGACGGATTCCATGCCAGACCTTGTACATTACCGAGTTGGTGTACGTGCGCAAATCCGTCTCTGTACAGAAAGAATTGCTTGATCATATGACGCACTATAATTGGTTGTCGAAAGGACTCAACCAATCAGCCGTCGCGTGAAATACCACGGAGAAACAGCTGTCAGCTCTCCAAGGTATCGTCTGTGAGCTTATAAGAGTGAAAGGGGCATTCTACCAGAATTGATGTATTCATTGACATCTTTCTCTTTCCACAGAGATCGGTACACGCATCACACTCTGGGATCAGAACAGTATTGGGGATTGCCGAGGGCTCCGTAAAGTCGTACGTTCGGGATATAATCCCTACACGTGCGGATAGCTTCTTCAACGGGGACTTCACGTCTTTAGGCGGCTTTGGTATCTAGAAGTGCAACAACATAAGTGACCGCAGAATTTAATATAAAATTCATACTTTGTGGACAAAGTACCTTAGATAGATATTTAGGACCGGACCAGAGGACCGGACTAGAGAATACAATATATAATTTATGAGAGAGAATGATGACTCACCGGCTGTCATCATTATTTAGTAACAAGGAGACCAAAATCTTAGAGACGGAGATTTTCACAATCTGCCGTTGTTAGAGAAAATCTCGTCCCACACAGGAACGTGATTAATAAATACAGCAGACGCGCCGTTCATAACGGCACTTCTGACTGAGTTCACTTATTTCAGACTTAGCACTCTTTATTAAGTGTCACTTGGTTTTGACTACAACTTAATCATCTTGCGAGAATGTCAGCAGCAAATTTATCACTATCACGGATTATACTATCACTGATAGTACTACCACTAATTGTGCAAATTCCTGATTGTTACGTCATTTCCTAACAAGATTCCTCTCTTGCTTTTCTACGGGCTATGAAAGAGAGGGTACAGAAGGTCCTTCGAACCATATGTTCTCCTCATGTATCACGCTCCACTCCCATTTTCATCTGTTCAGCTCAAACAGGTGTTGAAGAAGCAGCATAGCGATCTAGGGCGAGGAGAGGATATGGTCTAGGTTGGTAGACACCAGGTCACACACACATACACACACAGAAAAGGTTATACCGTTCTTATCAAGACATGCACATCTGAGGCTCAGTACACAAAGTATACATGTATTTGGGGTAGATCGATATATTCTATCACATTTTGGTTCAAACCAAAGTACACTGAAACCGCGTTACACATTAATGTCACGTAAAGTCTAAATAAACCAATAAAACAACATAAATCCCTTGTATGTATATGTCACAATCCCACTGCTGGCCCTGGGGAGTGACCGAGTGACCGAGTGAGTCTGTGACAGTTGTCACCCCCCCCACACTTTTTTTTCTTTAGAAAAAAAATGGCGGGCTGGCTTTTCCTAATCTTTGGCAATCATCTGAACAAGAGAGAGATCATTTTGGCGGGAAATATTACGTGTCCGTTCGACAAGCGGCACGAAAGTATAAAAAAATGTTTTTTTGTGAAACAAATTTTACGTCGATGTAAAAATACTACAGATTATAAAAGCCATAAGGACTATAGGCTATGTATATACTATAGACTATTTATAGACTATAGACTATGTATGTATAGAGGCTTGTTATGTACATGTGTACGTGACGGCTTAAGTATACTATCACTTAATGCGATTGAATGTGCAAGAAGTGTCAGTCTAGTGTAGACCATGTACGATACGTAGACAAGACCTGAGGTCCACTATTTAGAGATGCTTTAAACTTAAGACCTCAACGCCGCATCTGACACAAACACTATTCCGAAAATACTATTGAATTCACCACATAATCAATATGGTATGCTCAAAATCTGTCGATTACAAAGACCACATCAAGCGTGCAAATACGTTTAAGCGATGGCCATTCGCAGAGGGGACTTCTGTATCGGCAAGCCGAATGGTGGAGGCTGGATTCTACCACCCTCCGCGCACTATACTCAACAACGCTACCTGCTTCTCATGCAAGAAGAACTTGGCCGGTAAGTGACTATCGTGTTCGTAGACAGTCAATATCATATTTGTATAGGTATTATATGAGGACTGTGTAATAGAGAGTCTTGGGACAAATGTATATCAGTCGTGAAGTAAATTTTTGGAAGTTGGAATACACTTACCATGCTCCACAGTGCCATCTGCTTCTCATGCAATAAAAACTTGGCCGGTAAGTAATAATTGTGCTCGTATACAGTCAACATTATGTTTGTATATGTATATTATGAGAGTGTGAGGTAGAGATTCTTGGGACAAAAAAATCGCTCGTGAAGTAAATTCTCAGAGGTTCCGTTATACTTGCCATACCCCACAACACCACCTGCTTCTCATATAAGAAGAGCTAGGCCGGTAAGTATATATCATGTTAGTATACATATGTTGTTGCACCTGGCCGATTGAACGTCTTATGTGTACGCGTTATACGTATGTTATAAGGAGTGTGTAAGTGAATGTCATGTTAGTGTACGTATATGTATAGTATTATAAGTTCTGGTAAGTGTACAGCATATAGGACTACAAATGATAATAGAAGTGTACGGCAGGGATTCTGGACTTCTCACACACACACGCACATACACAATTGGATCACCTGTGTAAGCTTATCCCAACGGTTGTGACACAGTCTGTGACAGAGAAACGTGAATTGTAAACAAGGCATCAGTTCCGTGTGACCGACGCGTGTGTACATGTAGTGTTGAATTTGCTCACCTGACAGTGGTACTTCAATTGTGCATGTATTCGCTAAAAAAGTCTTCTAATAGTCAACACTGTATGAATATTGTGCACTAAGCGAATGCCCGTCTGTGTATTTATGAATTTTATATCTGCGTGAAGGAGAGGTATGTATAAGCGATTAAAGCTTTGGCAACGACAATGAGATATTTGTTTGCAAACTCTCAGCTATATTTAGAGACTCGCGAATAGACAAGCGCGTGTGTGTGTGTGTGGCTCGTTCATTTATGTACATCAAATCATACATACAAACAGTTGCACAAGTTTGCACCCCTATGCGTTTCACTGCACAATTTCTCTGGCGGGGGGTTTATGCTCACTAATTGTTAGAGTAGTGAAAAAGTTATTTCTGGTTTTTGCGGTATTTATGTATCAAATTTCATACATTCATAAGGACAAATCTAAACTGAATCACATAAACGCAGATTGGGAGGAGGAAGATGATCCCATCTCTGAGCATAAGCGTGGCACTAGTGAGTGCTTCTTTCTGTCGATGCGTTCGTTGCGGAATCGGATGAATTCGTTTACTTCACAATGGGTGAGTGGTTTTATGTCTACAAAAGTGCATGGCATCTCTTGGTCGAATATGCTTTACTTGGCCTGTATTTAAAACCACGATTCGTCTTTACAAGACGCTGGTTTCATTTCTTCATGGATCGAAGCTATCGGTAATTATATAGCACGAGTGCGTATTCACATCCGCATATGTTCCATGGACTCTATACAGCCACACCCAACAAAGGACTACGGACCTACCCCGGAGAGTCTGTCCCTGAACGGGTTTGTTTACCGCCCAGAGTATGGCGAGGACTACTGCGAGTGCTTCATGTGTGGAGTGGGTCTAGATGGCTGGGAGAAGGACGACGTACCATCACAGGAGCACATTAAGCGGAACAAATCGTGTCCGTGCAATGTGCGTTTGATTTCTGATCCGGCATGTGCAGATATACGCGCCCCGGTAGTCCAGGTGCCTGTAGTGGACACTGCTTGTGTCGGTGCATTGAAACTTGAGCCCCAGCCCGAAATCAGAGCCGGTTCGAAGCTCACGGGCCGTTCGAAGTCGCGGACGAAAGGTACGAAATCTCGCGCGAAGCTGACGAGTGCCAGAAGCAGGAGCAAGGTGTTAGCTAAAGATAGCGACAAGTTGTTGGCTGTGGGGATACAAGACGATCTCTCAGAGACCCCAGCCGGATCTACGGCTACCAAGAGCGCGTATACCGCGCCTACGCCTTCGCCGGCTGTGATGAGTGTGTCGGAAACGTCCGCTGAAGCGAGTAGCGAGGCGTGTGAGAACGCACCAAAGAAGGTTAGTACTGTAGCTACGAAGAAGGTCTATCCTTACACAGATACCTCGGGTCAATCGGGCAAGAAAAGGCGTAAGCGGAGGTTAACGAGGTCCATGTCTGTGAGATACGCACACATGGAGATGAGTGCAGCCAGCCCTAGCGGCACTACTACTACGGAGGGTATGGGAGAAGAGCCTATCACCAGTGTGGTTGCAAAAGCACAGGACGCAGAGTCTGGTAACAGCGTAGATCCGCACAAACAGGAAAATATGCCCGAGATGAGGGTAGGCCAAACTGCTGAAGGAGTACAAATTGCGGAGAATGCCATATATGAAGATCCTAGTGTAGATGCGCAATTGCATACAAAGCACACGCCCTCGAGTGTTCCTGGGCGCGAGTTGCAACCAAGTGTACCACAGTCTACCCAATCGAGCTCGTTATTGCCACAGAAGCTAAATCGGGATGTAGAAATGCCGTCAGAACTCGCTAAAGGTGTGTAGAATTACATGTTTCGGATCATGTTTAGTATCTCGTGCAGTGTATTTTTCAATAGTCACATGTCCTAGTTTCCAAGAGGCGAACCTTATCGTTGTGTGTGCCCCTTATTGACTTTCTTTGCATCTTTATCAGAAATGCACCCATCACCGGTAAAGGAGCACCACACCGAAGTATCAGTGCAAGTGCCGAAACTAACGCGCGCAAGATCTGTCAGATCGCATCGCTCGTCACTCGCCCGTGCACCGAGCCGGTCGGAGGTGGTACCGGCAAGTGATGCGAACATATCGACGGAAGTTTGTCAGTCTACTGCTACTTTGAATTCAGGAGAGGGTATGCAGTCTGGGGCCAAGCCGTTTCTGAAAGATGGTAAAAGTTTAGAGGCCGATAAGGGAGATACGAGATCCTCTCTTTCAAGCTCAGAGAATCAGCATGAAAAGGTAGAGCAGGATGCTAAGGCAGGTAGCGTACCGATCTTTGCGGAGGTAGATAACGTAGGGACAGACAGGGATACAGTACTGGGTGATCAGCAACAAACTGCAGCAGAAAAGCCATCGCCAGCACAAAGGCAGTCAGCAGAGAGAATGGCTGTCGAAGCTCCACATATTTGCCTTCCAAACGCATCTTTAGACGGGCAATTGCAGAATTCTTCACAACAACGTAGTACCAAATTATCGGGTGAGGCTCCTGACGAAGAGGCCGTGGCGGTGGATAACCATAGGTTAATTGCTGCGGGAACACGTGACGCACACTCGGTACCAAATGCAACAACCACAGAAATGGACGATGACCCTAGCAGTACGCAATGGAATTGTATGCGAGGCCAACATATTGAAATGGGTGCAAACAAGAACTCTATGGCTATAGGCAAGGCCAAAGCACCAAGCAGGTCACGGACGATGTTGCGGACAAGTCTATCTGTCACAGAGCCATCTCGCACAGATACAACAGGCGGACGTCACTCTGCACCCGCCCTACAATGGCCCGAAGAAGATCAATCGGAACTAAACACGCGTGTGCCCATCAGACGAGCGCGGCAGAACATCTCCGATGGGTCGGCTAGCACTATAAGCCGGCGTGCGCGTGCGCTGTCTGGGATCAAGGCAGATGCCGCAATACGTGGAGCGACGTTGGGGCTGGGCGACACGAAACTCGGGAAAAGAGTGTCACGTTCACATTCGCAGTCACCGCATCCCTATGCCGATGGTAGTGGAACGGGTAGTGGTACTCACACACAGAAGGCTCTCAGTGAGGGGCGTGGGAAGTATATGAGGGATGTTGGTCCCAACAATAGCGGTGACTCGCAGACGAAGACCTTTGCGCAGAGCTATAGGCACAGTACCAATACGAGTGGCCAAGGATTTCGCTCATCACCAGTAAAGAGGGTACGAACACCCGGCAGTACGCGTGCAATTAAGATGGCCATGGCTGGCAGACCACATACAAGACGAGCATCGCTGGAAAATACCATGGATAAAATACGTGCGATGGCTCCACTGTCCAAAGTTGGACGAAGGGAGCAGTTTGGAGAAAGTGATGGAGAATCGTCAGTACAGCGCACATTAGCAACAGGTGATAGGCCGATCGTACAACCTATGGTTGAAGAGTTTCCGGAAGTGCGAGACATAGATGTGGAGGCTTTCACAAATGGGCAGGAGATATCGGGACAAGTGAGGAAACAAGGAGTGGGTGAGAACCTTTCTGAGAGGGTATCAGGCTCCCCAGAAGCAGACTCGAGCGGTCGGAAGCAAAGGAACGTCCCTAGAACTAAAGAGTGCAGCAGAGGGAGAGAGACGGAGACAAGAAAACAAACTAAAAGCGAGGTTGGCTCACAAGAATTCAAACGACTCTCTGAACACGGTGTAGGCGTGCAAGAACCCATTCCACAACGTGAGGAAGCACTCACAAAATCGGGGCAGGATCGGTCTAAAAAATCAGGTCATAAACGGTCCAGGAGCACTGGAACAGACGTCGACTCAGATGCCTCAAGTGCTGCGATGAAGGGCGGGGCTAATACAAGAGCAAAGCGACAGAGACCTAGTCGTAGCACTTCTCTGAATAGAGCTGTGCCGAAGCGTACACGCTCGACCAGGAACAACCCTGACCCAATATCCATACAAGTGCCAGTTGCAGCACCGAGAAGTGCGACTGAGGACTCTGATGTTGCGTCACACAGCCTACATAAATATAATACAGATGACGAGTCGTATGCAAAGAAGAGACGGGAGAGGGTTGCAAATGACAGTACAAGTGCACAGGAAACTCTCAGTACTGAAGTGGCGCTCTCAGCAACTGGTGGTATGAGGCGCAATCGGAGGACTGGCAGCGAGCTAGCTGTTGGTGGTGCGAATCTCGCCACGGGCACACAACCAGATTCCGAGAAGCATAGCAGGAAGGTGGCTAAAGCAAAGAACAGGCCGAAACCGAAGCCTCGGGCAAGATCAACACTGTCGGTATCATCCCTACAGCCTATAACAGCGGGGCTATCTCAGAGACACACATCTCTTTCGGAAGGAAACGCGGCAGTACGAACGCTGGTGGGTGTTGTCTCTCGCGACTATAGGTTTGAGAGTGAAAGTACGGGGGATACGGATCAAGGATCCGAAGTGTCAGAAGCGAGGGCTGACGCTCTTCCCGTGGCCGAAAAATGTGAGCATGTTGATAAACAGAGGAAGTTAAATGTGCAACGTGGTGACCAGGGGATCGGGAGTCGTGTCGAGAGTCTTGAAGCCTGTGAAAGGAAAAATGAGAGTATGAATATCGATGATATATCTGGTGGCCAAACAAGAATAACCACGAGTGACAAATCAGTAGAGGCAATCCACGCTAGACAAGGTAGAACTACGAGTACACACTCAAGAGCCACGATGTCACCCAACACGCGCTTAAGCGATGGCCACAACGTGAGTGACTTATCTGTGGACAGCGTAGGCCGAGACAATCCGAGGGGGAAGCGTGCGACGTCAAGGCCGCAACGGTCCAGGTCTAGTACTAAGCGCTCTTGGTGGAAGTGTGCATCTGAGAAACCCACTAACAACGGTACACTCTCATTGCTGACTGATACACAACAGCCAAATGCCACTATAGACGCAGGCGTGAAACTTGCCACGAAGCCTAAAGCAAAGGCCCGACCACGGCGAAGTGGTTCGCGACAACAGAAAGGGGTGGCGGTGGGTACAGCGATGGGGGTAGGTGCAACGGAGGTGGCAGAAAGTGGTGATGCGAGAGTAGGCGTTGCAAAGCCCAAATCTGATGATGATGTAGATCCGACAATATCGCACAAGTCCTCTGACGGACAGACATCTGACAGTATAGCTCGTTCTCAGGCTTTAAGGGTCAGCGGTGGGCCGAAGGCAGCTATGCGGCCAGGAGCAAGCTCTAAGAAAACTCAACCGGGAGATGAGCACAGGTCTGCCGCTGCTATGCACGTGTCAGCAAATATCGGGGATACCGAAAGGACGCTCACACTTGAGGAAGCCGCAATGCTGGGCATCAGCGATAGTGAAGATGAGGCTATTGTGCATTCCAGGGGTGGTGCGAGGGTTGGTCCGATGAAAATGGGAAATGCACAGCGAGCTGAACGATACATTGAGACTGCGGATGTGTCTGTGGATGTCACTTTGCCTGGAGAGGTCCAGGCAGATACAAACTCGCGTGGTTTATTAGAGCACAGGGAAGGAGACTTAGAAGTAGAGTGTGTGCTCACGGATAAGAAGTCCACCATTGCGGGACCAGATAATACAAGGGAGGTCAGGGAGTTGGTTGATAGGAAGAATACAGAAGGACCACGTAAGCAACCACTGCTGCCACCATCATCAGGTAACGGTCTGGAGCCGCCCAAGGTGCCTCAGGAACTAGATGAAAGGGGAACGAAAGCCCATAGTCCGGATGTAGTGTCGTTACCAGCTCAACCACCGCACACAACTGAAGTGCCTGTTCAAGTGTCAGAGCTAACACAACGTCAAGCTGCGAGTACGCAGCCGCGTTCCAAACTGACTGCTCGTCCACGACCGAAACCGAGACCCCGCCCTAAACCAATAGGTGTAATAGAGAGTCTAGGTAAGCAGGGTCAAGATAATAAGCTTTGCGAGCAAAATAATGCGACACGCCCTAAGCCAATCGGAGTGAGAGAAGATTTAAGCGATCAAAGTCGAGAAGGTAAAGCTGGCGGGCAAGATATATCGTTACGCCATGAACCGGAGGGAGTGAGTGAAGGTCCAGGCGATCCAAGTCGAGAACGTAAGGCTGGCACGTCAGTAAGCAAATCACACAGTTCGGTACCACAACACACACGCATGTCTGGCGCGCACTCGAAGGATTTGGGCGGTATTGCAGACCCAGCAATGGCATCTACATGCATGTCTGGAGGTTCGGATGTAGCAGAAAGTGAGGCTACGTCAAACGCAGCCGAAGATGCAAGAGTGATAGAGCCCGTGAATGCAGAGTCCATGGTCAGTGGGGTAAGAAACAGTCAAAGCAAGGCAAACAGGCATGAGCCTAAGGACACGAGCCCAGAGAGACAGACTGCACAACACCTGCACGTGAGAAACGACAGAAGTCGCTTTGACTGCCATTCGGAGGGAGAAGCAAACTCTATTGGTACATTAAATAAGGGCACACGTGTACAAGCATCGAATACCATTCCATCAGATACTGTGACTCGTGTTCAGGCATCCAAGGCTTCTGTACCAGGGCGGCGGCCAGCAGCTTTTGGTACGTCGGCGTATCGGAAGCAACCCATCGACTCGTTCTCCACCAAACACGCGCTTCGGTTTAAGTCCAAGATGCACGGGAATGGGTCGGATGTCAAGCCTCACCAACGGTTAGAGCCCACACGCTCAAGCACACGTATACGTACAAATGTGGAGGGCAACCCCGGAAAGGAGCGCCTGCGTTCCGGGATCGGTCTGAACTCGAGCTCGGACTCGTTGACCGTCGCATACACACAGTCCAACCCACTGTCGTCATCGGCCGGCACAAGATCCGGTGGAAAGCCACTCACACGCGCACGCTCGCATACCCAGCCGCTTACACGCACACGATCGCACACACGGTCGCAGTCGCGTGGGCTGTCTGAGACGGAAGGACGCCCTGAGGGTAGTGGCGAGATGGGCCGTGGTTCAAGGTCCAGAGCCAAGCGTATGCGGACAAGCCGTGCTTTCGGGAAGGTTGCTGCCTCGTCTGGCGAGTCTATGGATATGAGTCTAAGTGATGGCAGCAGTGTATCTAATCAGGCGGTTGGGCCAGTTGCCACGGAGAAGGGGAGAGGAGACTTAAGTGGGGTGGGAGGCCAGGTATCGAATACAGGGTGTGATAAGATAGTACAGGAGGTATCTACTGCTGGTATGGATATGGATGTGTCTGCTGGTGGACGTTGTCGGGAAGAGAGTGGCGCAACAGACAGGGGAGCAGCAAGTGTATACGAGCCTCTGACCATGGAGGTAGCATCAATGGAAGAGAGTGTTAGTCGTGCTGACGTAGAAGTATCAGGGAATGGGAAACGAACGAAGGAAACAGCACAACATGGCACTACACACACCAATATAGTTCGCAAAGAGCCGGGAATAGCGAGTAGACAAATGGACACAATACATTCGCAACCGGAAATCATGGCTACCCAATCGGAGAATATAGATACACGATTGAGGATAGCAAATACTCAACCAGCAATGACAAAGGCACAACTCGAGTTACCAAATACACCATCCGGAACGTCTACTATTTCAGACAATCACGGTTCAACCACTATTGAAAAAGCGGGAATTTGCGAACAAGAACTACAGAAAGCAGATCAATCCCCACTCTCACTTTCAGAATCACGCACAAGGACATCCAAGTCGCTGAGTCGTATGGACAAACCATGTCTCAATAGTAAGGCTCCGCAAGTATTGTCAGGCACTGACACAACGGCGAGTATAGAGGCACAGACGCTCGTCACAGCACGCTATCACGATATTCCAATGGCGACACATCCACAGGTGGATGCACCCCCGAACACTTCTGTAAGTCTAAATGCGAGTGTGGACGTGCTTGTGCGGGCCGAGGGGACTGCCCTAGTGCGTGCATGTGAGCGCAGAGTTGACACAGGAAAGGAGGATAGAGCGACAGCAAAGGGGATTCGCACACGACTCTCCGATACGTTCGTTTGCGCCATTAGCGTATGTCGTGTCCAGATATATGCGTATTATAGTCTTGCTGGTCTTACTGCGTTGTAGTGTGTTGTGTGTGTATGGCTGAATATAGTGTTGTCTGAGTCCTATTCTAGTGTTGCAGTACTCTACTATTCATGTGGCGTGTGAAGCTCATCCATGTTAAGAGGCGCGCACAATGCAAAGATTGCATACTACCAATGTCACACTTATGAATAACTTGTATCTGGACAGGGGACTATGTACTATCTATGTAATTGGCAACTCCCGTTGTGTGTAGTTTTATACCTAGATCGGTGGGCTACCAAGTCAGCTATGCGATACGATATCAGATATTAGTGCAAAAACTCGGCTAATAGAGCCACTCAAACCTAATGAATTGTCCCTTGTTTTTGCAGCCGGGCTGCCAAGAAACGTCACCTGGATTACAAATCGACACCTCCGCATCTGTAGAGACCTTCCTGAAAGCCCAGTGCGACGTATGGGTGCAGAAAATACACGAACGGGCCAACAGGTACGTTCCCCGGACAATCACTTGTGTGTACAGCGTCCTAGTTGTACTGCTTGTACTGCCAGTGTCAACGAGAATTGCAATAGAATTGTGTGTACTACCGTAACAGAGTTGTATTTTTGACAATTTGGGTGGGATGTGGGGTAAGATTTATATATAAAATCGAGCACAGAAAACTCGTAACTCAAAGCGCACGCCCTTTATTCGAACGGATATATATAAACAATTGGGATATGCATAGAACACACAGAGCGGAAAGCTCAACACTGCGTCAGCCATTCGAACACTTACATCTCGGGGTATAGGATACTTACAGAATGCACTGAACTCGTCACGTACCCCATGTATTTGAGCAGGCACATCGCCGTGTTCCAAGAGGAGGCTGCGCGCGTACGACAGTCCCACTTTGCGGCATAGGCGCACCGTTGTATCGACTGGGCTGCAATTAGTATATTCATCAGACGAATGCAAATGGAAGTCTGTACGAATTGTACTTCGAAAGTATCGTAAAGGTACAGCAATGGATTCGGATCGTAGCAAGCAGTAGACATATCTCTGTGGAATCGATTTATACGCTTGGCGTTGAGGTGGAGATACAGTGCAGATTTACCTACCCCAGTCTAGACTGGTTTATTAGTAGCCTTGGCTTGTCTATTAGTAGCTTTGACTGGCCGATTGATAACCTTGACTGGTCTATTGATAACCTTGACTGGTCTATTGATAACCTTGACTGGTCTATTATAACCTTGACTGGTCCATTAATAACCTTGACTGGTCTATTAGTAGCCTTGGTCCTTATAGAGCGCCCGGCGACGCCTCCGATCACTACAGCTGATGCGCGCATGAGCTCAGGAAAGGAGCATATTCCTAAGCACATCTGTTGTGTAAGTGAATGGGTATCCACCGGTTGCCATCCTCCGACGACCAACCCTGGAATGGAGGTCTGACCGGTGAACTGAAGGTGGGGGAATTGACATCTCAGTTACACTCGATTTTACCACTACCATGCCTGCCACATGCTAACTAGTCTGTCTCTGGTCCTATCATACGCAACACGCGCTGTCCGACATGCTTCGTGGTAATCCTGAGGCGCCCACGCACAAGCACACCTGCCAAAAGAAGTTGTGACATTCTCGTAGCCTGAAGAATGAGTCGCAGCGCAAGGTGTAGACTGTCGATCGCATTTGAATCACGGATCCGTGCATCTTGGTGTATTGATCACGCTACAAGAACTTAGTCAATCTTCGCAGTTTTTTCTACGTTGCAATTGTAGACGTGAAATAAATTCTGGTATTGTTCATCATTGCGATTCTATTACTCGCTCATAATATTTTCGGCTGCTGTCCGAAATTAAATTATGCACTTCGTATTTTGCCTCAGATTGTAACGACTGCCATCGAACGATCGATGTTTGTCATTTGATAGAGCCAGCGACGTGTGCTCTCTGTAAGATAACTAATACGAGAAAAAATAGTCATTAACCAATGCACTAATGGATATATCATTAACCAATGCACTAATGGATATATCATTAACCAATGCACTAATGGATATATTCTCGCATAATAACACCATACAACTATCGTAGTAATTGGTAATCTATAAATTCTCGGGTATACGTCAAGCCAGGCTTTATGTATGCACATGCTACTGTTTTCTCTGTATGATTCCAATATTACCCCAAACAGCGTACAATACAAAAAGAAATATATCCCTTGTACTAGATTGATACAAATTTATGTCAGAAATTGTTCGTACAGTTTGTAAATTTAAGTGTTCGAAATATTTTCTTTGAGCATTCGTCGTCCCAAATACATCTGTATGTATTGATGTGCAATGCTTGGCTCCGTAAGAACTTTAATATTAGTATTGCTAATCAACTACTTGCCAAACAGTCAGCAGATCACCACCATTATGGTAGATACAATCTCGAATTTTAGACAAGTGCGCACACAAGACTTTGGTTGTATTCAATCTTTTCATTTAATGTTTCAATTCCGAGCGTGTGTCTCTCCAGGTATACACACACTGTTGATAGCTATGTATGAACCCAACTATAATAATGCCACTACCCAACTCCTCGTGAAGGGGTAACGAAGTATATCAGCAGATCACCATCAGCGAAAGTCTGAACAGTACCACAAACGGCACAGTACACAAACATGTCTTTCGCCAACCACCACTCGATATGTCGATCCCGGGTATGTGACTTTCTAGGTATACACTTATGCCAAAGTTAGCTCTGTATAGACCCTATGATGATAAATAATAAACAATAACAACACTTTCCATCTACTCGTCAGGGGTGATGACCACAAGCAGATCGCCTCCAGCAAGGTCGTCTCCAACCTCACAGGAGAGCTTCTGAACAGTTCCGCTGCAGGGTGCACCCACAACTGTCTCCATTTTCATGGCAGACATAATGACAAGAGCATCGTCCTTCTTCACCTTTTGTCCTACCGCGGCCTTGACACCGATGATGTTTCCTGCACGCATCGAACAATTGCAGAAGAAGGAGGTTGTGAGCACGAGTGATAAGTGTCATGTGCATCAAGAATGGAATCTGGCAGTGAACAGTGCTTCCATTAATCAACTGTAGAAGTGGACTATGAGCAAGAGAGATCTACATCAGGAACAGCCAGTAAAGGGCTTGCCTACATGCGACTGATCGAAGCAAGTGTTGTAGCAAGCCGATAAAAACTTAAGTCGCCAAATAGTTAGGTCATACAATATGTGGAACATAATGCAATGATCCACTACATCTCGATGAATTGGTATGCTAAAGCGTAAATCGTACTACGAGGCCTATACGTGTACACTAGCGCATTTAATCGAATACACAGTACACTGCATTCCCATGTGTCGTGACAACACAAATGGGCCGTGCATATATATATATATACAAGTCTCTATAGTGACATACCTGGCATTGGTGCACCAACCTCTCCCTGGTTAGCCTTGTTGGCCTTCTCTCTGAGCTTGAGACCCATAGACGCTGCCTCAAGTCTGTCCTGAACATATAGGGATCGGGGCTGTCCGTTGACTTCGAAAAATAACTCCTTGAAACCTGTGGCAAGTACCAAGAATATAAGTATGTGAGTAAGATTTCCAATGAGCAATTTGTTTGAAGCTGTGATTATTATTAAGAAAGCGCATATGAAAAGCTGGTATTAGCGACGGTTGTAATTAGAATTAAAGATATGTACGTAAGATAATAAATGATCCACTCAATGTAACCTGCGGGTATCACCAAGGATACAGATATGCAAGCGAAGGTCTAAATAGACATCGAAACCGAAGATGTCGAGATATACGCATAGAATACATGCATTAATACAGATGAAATTACAGCTAGCAAACAATACAGTCCGACGAATTCTACACAGTTTGTACTTGTGGCACAAAAGTCTCAGGGTTTTACATATCTGCAGTCATTTCACTAAACACAACAGTGAAGAAAACTTGAAAAGGTATTTTATGTATATATTAATATACATACATACCAGACGTGTCAACCATTCCTTGAGCCAGATAGGAGATGTGCACGGTGAAACCCTTGCGTAACTCAACGTGCACAGTCTCGCCCAAATCCATGCCGCCGAGATAGTTGTGTGTGGGGAGTGGTGTCAGGTTGCCGTAAGTGCTTCGGAAGCTAGCGTACTCATTGAATACCTGAAATTGAATGTGAGTGAGCATGGTGTTGCTTTGAGGTTTGTGTGCGATTATATGTATGTACAGACAATCAGATACAGTACAGAGAACTAAGATTGTTTAACACGTGCTTGCATATGCCTCTCCTTCAGCAGAAAGGTTAAAATTTATATCTACAATTTGTCAACGAAACAACCCCCGTCATGCTCGTATTTGTGAAGCAATTTAAATCTGTTCCCTTCTTAAAAGCGCATACTGCAATCCCGGACTTACTATTCAACACAAAATGTCTATGAAATTCACAATCATACCCGTTCAAAAGCAACGTGACAATACCTGAGGATATAGTGCGTGACTCATAACATCCGTATCCTTGATTTCGAAGGTGGGATGTGCTGCCTGAAGGTCTTCCTGTGCCTTCTCGAAGTCGTAGGGTGCCATTGACTCGCCCGGACGACCGGTGATCGAGGGTAGGCCCTTCAGCACCTTGTTCTGCAGATCTTGTGGGAAGCCTCCAGGTGGAACGCCTGGATTGGCATGCGAAAATGTACGTATGTCAGTCAATGGGCGAAAATAGTTTATGTGTGTGTATGCGATTTAATTTTGAAACAAGGACGAGGAGAGAGGGGTAAGAGTAATAAAATTCTGCAATGAGTGGTGGTACGCCAGGATGTGGCACGTGATAAATTGCATATATTTGTTGATGTGTGTGTGTTTGATGCGTGTATGTAGGCACGGCTGGGTATGCTGAAGTTTAGGAGAAAAGATTGTACCTACATATCCAACCACATATTGATACTTTGTTTGAAGATTCAGGGGGAAATACCTGACCGAGTGTACTACCAGATACATACTCTCTCTCGCAGGTGTACCAAATACTTGCGTACACAAAATACTTACATAGGTGCAACAAAGATGTGTATGACAATACGAGTATATATCAATATAGATACGTGTATATATTTATAGCAATATAGAGATGTATAGCAATAAAGGTATGTATATAAAGCAACAGAGGTACGTATATATAGAAATAAAAAAAGGCGTACATACAGCAGTAAAAATACGTGTATATAGCATTAAACATACGTATATGGCACTATAAGACGTACCCAGTTGACCCTGGAAGAACTCGACCACCGATTTGGGGAAGGAAAGCTCGCGCCCTTGTATGATCACATCTTCTGCGTTCAGGTTGTTCTGTACCATGAACTGAGCCAAATCACCAACCACCTTGGACGAAGGGGTGACCTTGGGGATGTCTCCGAAGAGCAGATTGGCCTCGCGATAAGCCTATGGAGGACAAGAAATATGTTAAGTCCATGTGGAAAAAGGGCAATGCTGCATATGTTTACACACACACACAAATATATATATATAGATATGAATAGGCCTGCTACTGTGCTCTGAATCATATAGGAGCATGGGCAAGTATGTATAAGAAGGTTGAGGCTTCGGCACTTGAGATTTAGTACGTAGCGAATTCAGAAATCAAGCTTGATATATACTTGTTCTATATATATATATATATATATTAATGAAGATATAAATAGAAACACATACATGTGTGATTTCCTTCCAGCGATGAGCCAAGCCCAGGGAATGGGCCTGGAAGTGAAGGTTGGTGTACTGTCCTCCGGGAATCTCGTGCAGATATACGTCGGCACTACCGGTCTTCATGGTCTGTGTGGCCTCGAAGGGCGCGTATTGGCCACGCACCTGTGTGTAGAAAGGAGAGGTGGCATGCACAGAGAGTCATGAGAAGACATAGGACGGATAGGTTAGAGAGACATTGGTAAACACTACAATGCAATCAACTATGGTGTATATATGATGTATCACAATGCATGCATATGGATCCTTTGTAAACATAATACATACGACAGATATAGCGAGAAAGACACAATAGCCCGAGACAGAATCCACCAGCAACATTGTGGTCTTAAATGTATGCAAACACACACACGCACCTGTTCCCAATACAGCGCGATGTTAGAGATTCTTTCCAGATCGAGTTCGGTGTCTAGTTCTGTGCCCTGAAGACAGGCCACCAGGGCTCCCATTGAGGGCTGTGAGGTCATGCCTGACATAGAGTCGACCGCACAGTCGACTACATCAGCACCAGCATGGGCCGCCGCCAGCATAGCCGCCACGCCTGCGGGTAGTAGAATAGTAATGAATTTGGGGTGGTTTGATAGTGTGAAGGTATGCATTGTATGTTGTACCTGTGGGCAGTAGGATGCGTAGAATAATATTGGATTTGAAGTGGTTTGATAGTGCAAAGGTATGGCTATTGTGTTGAATAGTATTGGATGCGGGTTGGTTAAATAGTGGAAAGGTATGAGTCTGTTGACCTCAAAATGCACTGGGCAGGGTGAGAAAATAGTGCGTTCAACGCGAGTCGAGGGCGATTTATAGGGATATGCAACAGCCAACACAGCCGAAACTGCTGAGTCGAGGAGTGTATGAGAAGAGCTGCCAGGTATTTAGTTGCGTCACTCACCGAGTCATGATATATATATATATATATGCACTATCCAACAAACACCTATACATACATGTAAAGACACAAATGACGGATATCCAAACATACATACCGGCACCAGAGGTGTCGTGAGTGTGTACGTGAATTGGCCAGTCAGGGAACTCCTTGCGCAGAGAACCGATCAAAAGAGTGGCAGCGGCGGGCTTCAACAGGCCAGCCATATCCTGAGTGGTGTACAGAAACGTATAGGTGCATAAGTAAGGTAGTATGTAAAAGAGATGTGTGTGCAAGTATACTACTTATACAGAACGAAGCCTACTAATGGAAGAACACAAACGCACACACACACACATATATATAGATATATATAACACATACACACACACATATATATAACACATACACACATATATATATATAAACACACATATATTTATATCATACACACATACATATATATACAAAACACACATATATTTATATCATACACACACATATATATATATATATCATATAACACGCATACAATACATATGCGTCCCATATCCATACCTTGACACATAGTACGTGAGCACCAGTCTTCTTAATATCAGTGGCCAGTTGCATGTAGTAGTCCAGGTTGTACTTGTAGCGGTGTGGGTCTGAGACATCTCCGGTGTACGACATAACACCTTCGACCACACCTCCTGCAGCACCAGCGGCATCCACACCAAGCTGTGTGAGTTACATATGTCAAGATAAAATTAGCCCACATAACGAGATACAAATCAACAAGATCGAATTAGTAATGTAGTAGTGTCGTTGGGGTGTTTGTGTGTATGTAGGGCACAGGCGGATTCTTATTTTACAGTGCCGAACGCATAAGTCTGCGTATGCACCTGGCTGGCACGATATACTTGGCTGCGGAATCCAAATGTAAATAAGCTACGCGTGTGTGCAGTCATATACAAATGCCTACTAATTTGCATACACATGCATGAATCCTGAGGAGAAGAAAAAACAGCGCACGCAGACAGATATATAACATCATATACGTACAATGGGAGTGATTATCACCACACATCTCTGACATGCACAATATATATGTTTACCTGCAAGTTAGGTAGGTAGTTCACGGAATCGAAGACTCGGAAGATGTCCATGCCATGCTCAACAGACATGCGACAGAACTTCTCAACCACATTGTCAGGGTACGATGTGTATCCAACAGCGTTAGCCCCGCGCAGCAACATCTGGAACGGAATGTTCGGTACACACTCACGCATCCTGTCGAGTCGATCCCAAGGACACTCTCTATGCAATGCCATGGACAAGGAGAAAAAGGGTACATTTAAAATACAGGCCAACATTTGATGAGATGTGTATCATATAGTATTGTGATGTTGTCAGGGTGGCTGAATGTCTATATATCGTGACTAGCAATTCAACTTTACATTCTCTGTGGTCGATGCTAAGGACGGTCGTCGTATTCTATATATAAATATGCATTTATGTGTATATAGTTAGATATATATATATCTACGTTAAACTCACCTGAGGAAACGTAGGGCCACATCAAAGGTAGCACCACCCCAGTTCTCGAGTGAGTATAGGTTGCTCATGGATTCGGCTGTGTATGGCGCAATCTTAAGGATATCACGCGTACGTACACGTGTGGCTAGAAGACTCTGGTGAGCATCACGCATGGTGGTGTCCATTAGCAACAGCTTCTTATCCGCACGAACGGCCTTGGCGAAGCCCTCGGGACCCTCTTTGTCGAGGATTTCTGTGTATGTGTGCGTATTGAAATGCAGCAATACATACTTATTGATTCCGTGATTTGTCACATTGTGGGTTCAAGATAGTTTCCGTGTGTGTGTGCACATGTACATTGCGATAAGTGCTAGACATGTGTGAATTAGTCTGCGAGATCTAGAGCTCTGCATTGCGATTTAGTAGTTTGTGAGTGTACGTTGATGATACAAGGTTTGATGTGACGATGTGCGAGTGTGTGCAAGTGCATTGGGTTAACCGATGTGATCGAAGTAGCGTCCATGCTTGTCATTTTGTTTGCGTGGTTGAAGGAATCGATGTTTGTGAGAACGGTCTTGTTGCGGTCGCAGCCACAGCCTTCAATGTCGGTGGTGATAATTACCCATCAAACCATACACACATACATACGCTTTAGTCCCTTAGGGGGTCTGCCGGTGGTGCTGGGAATGACTGGCGGTACTTTGGTCATCTTGGCCTCCTTGTTGCCCAGGGGAGTCATAGGTCCGTTACAGTTAACCTCGGCCAAGTAGTGCAGCAGCTTAAGCGCGCGATCGTCGGCCTTGACCTGTGATAGCGAAGGGATTGGAGTTAACGATAAGATTCCAACATCACACGTACACAATCAATTGCGAATTACAAATAAGGATCTAACATCACATGCATAGCATCAAATTGGAGGAAACACTTGTAAGTACTCAGAATCACGCGTGCAGGAGATAGTACATCAGCACAACCACAGCAACAGCCATACCTTGAGCAACTCAGGCTTGTTCTCGATGAAACGGGTAGTCACGGCGCCGTTCACAAAGTCGTTGTCTTTGAGCACATTGAGCAGGAACGGGATGTTAGTCTTAACCCCTCGCACGCGGAATTCATCGAGTGCACGCTCCAGCTTGGCACACGCCATCTGGTGTGTCAGTGCGCGTCCAGTGACCTTGACCAGTAGCGAATCATAGTACGGGCTGATTTTGGCACCGGCGAAACCTGCATTTGGCGATAAATTTGGAATGAAAGAATCAGAATCTATGTATATAATATATATTTGATGTATGTTAGAGTGTATTGTCAATATGTGGGTTGCCTGGTTATGTTGATGCAACGCACTCGACCGGATGTGTTATAGCTCGATACAAAAACGATGTAAAAATATATATAAACGGATCACCAGGTACACATGTGTCATGATCAATACCTCTGAACTAGCGCCGGGGCAAATACCCAAATCATAATCAGTAGGAACACTTCCAGAAAAACTCTATGGGAAAACAATAGACAAAACTCTACAGAGATACCGCACCACGTTTGCAAAGTTCACAGCACTCAGAATCCATTAACTGATTACCAAGTACATATACATAATCCAAGCTTTAAATATCAAGTACAGATAACTAAAATCCAAGTCTGAAATTTCACATATATACACATAATCTATCTCCTACCATAGGAAAATACCTTCACCATTGAGGCATTGAGGCGGATACCCATACCGTCGCCAGCGCTGAACACTTCCGACACACCACCACAGCAGACAAACAACAGGCAAACAAACACTACATGCACCCTTAACACTCGTACCAAATTCCTAAATACACATCTTACCCATCTTTACTGATCCATACTTCCATCATATCCTCATGTGAATACAAATAAGCCCTCGAGTCGTGCTACCATGACCATACCTGAACCGGCATCGAGACGGATACCCATGCCTTCCCCAGTGCGGAATACTTCCAGACGCCCTGTATCAGGTTGGAAACCGTTCTGCGGGTCCTCGGTGGTCACACGGCATTGGATAGCAGCACCCAACAGTCGCATTTTTTCTTGACTAAGGCCCAGTTGCTCGAGAGTCTCACCTTGAGCCACGCGCAGCTGGGATTGTACCAGATCTACGCCAGTTACCTATGTAGGATGTGTGTGTGTGTGTTGGTGGGGGTGTGGAGGGGGGGAAAGAGGAGATGAATGAGAGAGATGGTGCGTATATACACATGGATAAATGGACGATGCACTGACAGTGTGTGTGTACAGTGCAACATGGAAAAAAAAAATCGCTTCAAGTACATAACATTTAAACCATATGCATATGAATACATAGGGTTGTAGACGATAATAATAAAATATTGGCTTCATATATCAAGCATCCGCACCTCTTCCGAGGCGGTATGTTCGACTTGGAAACGAGCACTGACTTCGATAAATGGCTACCATCGTCGTCTAACTAGGACGCTAAATATACACAGCACTAAGATGCAGCTTGCGCAAAAATGCAGACGCTTGCGCAATGCATATCTACATACCCTATCCACCCACGCACATATACACATAGATAGAAATCCGCTTGATGCACACAGCTTACGTACCTCCTCCGTGACAGTGTGCTCGACCTGCAAACGGGCATTGACTTCAATAAAGTAGTGACTACCATCCTCGTCTACCAGAAACTCAACTGTACCAGCGTTACCGTAACCAGCATGTTGGCACAGGCGTACGGCATCAGCGGTCAGAGCTGCACGAATCTACAACGTTGTTGATATATGGGGGTTTGATGTGATTGTGATATGTAAGTTGTATATGTATGAAGCTGTGGGCATAACAAGATTAGTCGCGTTGGGTTGGAGATCGGATCAATAGATAGGCGCGAGTAGTAGTTATTGCATGAGGCCTACATCGGGTCCAATAAATGAGTGTGAGATGTATGTATATGGTTGATTACCCAACGTATTCACTATCAGAGTTCACTAGCTAAGTGCGAGCTGTAGGTATACTACGCGAACACACACGGTATGTGTGTAGAAGGCACGCATTCAGCATAAGTATCTCCAGATCTGAAATACTTTCATCCTTACAACCGCACAGATGATAAGCGTGCCACATTAATACTCGGCACCGAAATGTACGATAGTGGTCCTAAACATATACCTACCTTCTCATCCAAATTAGGCGCGGGCGCAATCTCCACGACCTTCTGGTGGCGGCGCTGTACGGAGCAATCGCGCTCAAACAGGTGCATCACGTTGCCATGGTGATCAGCCAAGATCTGCACCTCGATATGTCGGGGATTCTCCAGATAACGCTCGATAAACATGGCCCCGTTTCCGAAGGCGCTCAAGGCTTCACTGGTAGCCCGAGCGAAGTTCTCGTCTAACTCAGCCATGTTACGCACAATACGCATTCCTCGGCCACCCCCGCCGTACGCAGCCTTGAGGATGATGGGGAATCCGTGCTCTGTATAAGGTGCCGGTGCAATTTAGGGTTTCCGTCTAGGATGTGTTCCGTAGCATCCTATCTCTCCTTTTCAGGGGGCTTTGTGTGTTCTATCTCCTTTAGAAGGCTATGCGTGTCAATGGTATATTGAAATCCATGATGTCTTTCTTTGAAACGAACATAAAGTGACAAGTAACTGTCACATCCGGGACATCATACGCCCATTTACATACGTACACATCCAAACGCTAGAGTCCAATCTACACCTATATTGGTTTAGAGGTTTAGACTAATCTATACCTATATACATATACATGCGAAGCCAACCCTTAACTACGTACCAGAACAGAAAGAAGTAGCCTCTTCGGCTGTATTAATGGCTCCGTCAGTACCAGGCACCACAGGCACCTTGGCATCCTTGGCCAGTTGACGCGCGAGTGTTTTGTTTCCCATACGATCAACTACAGAAGGGGCCGGGCCAATCCAAGTGATACCCGCATCTTGTACCGCCTGTGCCACATCGGCACGCTCGGAGAGAAACCCGTATCCTGAATACGTTTTAAAATGTAACGTTTTGCGAGTTAGTTTCGAGAAAAAATAAGCAGTATTCGGTTTGGACTGGTTTCATGACATAACATCGGCACTCTCGGAATGGAAACGAATCCCGAATGCGATGGATTGCAATGTTGTAGGAGTTAGTGGGCAATTAAGGTGTACTAAACGTACTGTCTGTTGCCATTGATTACCACTTGCCTGTTTAACATATGTCCATTCTCCAAAGGAAAAACGTAATGTAATTGCGTATATCGCGCGAGGTATAGGGCATTCTACAGTACCCATACAACTAAGTCCCAGATCTATTGAGAGTAATAATAGAAGATTGTATTGCACACACCTGGTCTGTTTAGCATCGTGATTATACTTGTATGAACGATGGAACACATTGGATGGAAAGAAGGAACTCACGCGACAAACACAAACACTCCAAAGTCATGCCAGATAGTATACTATACATATCTATCATATATCGTTTATATATATATCATACTACCTATTATATACATCATACTATATACCTAAAACACAATGACTTTCCGCAAACGCGTCACACACCTCTGATCGAATGAGTACTCGAGTACTTGCACATGAAATAGTACTGCTGTAGTCTATAGTCTATATCTAGAGCTGTAATGTATACATCCATACAGAAGTCTGTATCAACCTCCACCATACACATGTACATTGAACCGCACCTTTACTAGACAAGGTACATAGCAATGAGATGAGTCGATAAAGATACCTGAGTGATCCCAGATGCTGAATATGGAATCAGAACTTTACAAATTTGTGCGCAGCACTGTATGTCAGCGAAGACTTTGTTGTTCCTAGCAACGCGCTCAATGGTAAGTACAGGTACACATCCGGTAGCATGCCCATATCGGTATATATGAATACAAATATGAAAATGAATATATATAAATATACGAAATACATAAGAAATACATATGCACCTACAAACAAACACCACCGCATTCACTCACCAGGATGAATAGCGTCCACCCCGTTCTTCTTGGCGACTCGCAGGATCTCCTCCACAGACAAGTACGCGTCTACCGGCTTCATGCCAGCACCCACGAGGTAGCTCTCATCGGCTTTCTGCCGGTGCATCTGACCTGCATCTTCGTTCGAATAGATTCCTACTGATCTGATGCCCATCTCCTTAGCAGCACGGTACACACGGATGGCAATCTCACCACGGTTGGCCACGAGAAGCTTCTTGATGGGTTGGATGAGAGGCCTGGAAAAGGGGGTGCAGTTGAGTGCGGGTGTACAGGTTAGTATATGCAGTGTGTATTGCAAGATAGTATACACAGTCCGAGTGTTTCGTAGGTGGTCGTGTGCTTGTAATCAAGCGCGTACGTAAAGTGCTACTGGGTGTTAGCACTAAGGTGGCAACCCCGCAACGGCTGGCCACCAGAGATTCTACGGCGAGCCAAACTTGTATATATACATATACATATAAATATATATTATCATGCGCGTGTAGGTAGGTGAGTAAGCGAATGCGCCAGTCGGAGCGAGTCGATGTGAGCAAAGCCTGGCGGCTATGGCATCTTAGTTTGCGCTGTGGTTCCCTCGGACTGTCTATATATACTGATCAACGAACGGCAAACCCTACGCTATCAGTATGTCGGTGTCCGTCATAAGGTTGTTGAATAAGTAGCTAGCAAGCTAGGTCTCTGGTGCATATGTGCACGTATGTGGGGTCAATAGTATGTATGCATGTTGCTTGCAAGGGCAGAGAATATACTTAGTTAGCAAGCTAGACAGGAGTAGAGTCAAGCGTTGTTCTTCTAACCTCCTGTCGAGCAAGCCAGAAAAACTGCTTTAACAACAACGACGCCAAACTGCAAGAGTGTTACTGCTGTAATACTCAGCAAGCTTCAATAGATAGGAAAAAGGTAGTGGTACAACTTTAGTAATCTGATTGCGCTCAAGTAAACCACGAGATGCCGTGAGAATCAATGCGGATCAATGCAATGTGCAATACTTTGGGTCCTGTCCTAGGCGAGAGAAAGTTAAAGGTGAGATAATTGTTATTCGTGGTAAGTAGGCGCACAAGCCATCAACATTTCATAATAGTTTGGACAGACTATTATACGTGACTGATAAAAGCATGGAGCTTTATTTGCAGCATGCACTGCTAGCATTTCAGTACAGTACACGGAATCTCACATGAAACATTTCCATTCCGAAAATTACTAGGTGCCATATACGTCCAAAGCGACTATACGTCCAAAGTGGCGGTGGTGTTAGAATGCGGTGCAACTGTCATAAAACACCCATGCCGCTTACAACACCCAGGACTGTTTAGTAGTAAGAGCTCAATTGTCTGCTGGTTGCTATAACGACCGTTCTATGCAGCTATATAATAATGTATTTACTTAGCCTATACTGACCGTAAATAGTAGGACTATCTAAGATATCACAATATATTTTTATTGCACTCACAAATGAGAATGTCTGTCCTTCGTCCAACATCGGTGACTTCAGTCACAAACCCGGCAATACACATACGTATCTTCAGACTTACAACCAATTTTGTACATACCTATCGCTATTTGATCCAAAGTATACCTATTTACCGCTAATAGAAATTGTACCTACTTATTGCTATATGTACCAAGGAACTACACATACTTATTGCTATATGCCGATTCAGTGGAACAGTAGCGGTTGAGCACCGCCGCATAGCTGACGGATGGCCGAGAGACCCCTCTCACGGCTCTGCTGGGAATAGACAGCAGCATATTCGTAGCAAGTATAGCCGTAGCAGTCAAACAAACACGCTCCTCCTGGTGTGTATTACTGTGGTGGGCAGTACGACTGAAGCTATTTAGCCCAGCCCAACCCTTCTCCGCAAGTATTTATTCGAGTATTGAGTTTTGAGTTTTGAGTCTTTTGACTGCTATGAAATATTTTATCTCGGGTATCCCCAGAAGAGAGAGTAGAATAATAAACCAGGCGCGGGGGGAACACTGTTGAGTGTTGACACTTCCCTCTTCGCTTGTTATTGTTGTCTGTGTATTTAGGCGATTTCAACTAATGGTCTGATTGCTGAGTAGGGGCGGAACCTCGGAACCACGGAAGCGTCACTTTCACCGTCACGCTTTAAAGTTTAAACCCTCTACACAGTCACAATCACACCGCAGAAAATAAAAAAGTGAAAGCCTTCTAAATCAGGCAGATAGAAGTGGATATAGAAAATTAGAAAAGTCAAAACAAAAAAGGCGCTGTTATTGGCCAAGAGCCATTTTTTGACAGTCGTGTCAGAAGTCACATTTACACAATCACTGCAACCCCTACTCTGCCCGGGCGCTCGGCTGCCGTATAAAAAAATACATGCTGATGACTGCAGCATTCCACTGACATCATTTTATGATTTTCATCGGATATGCAATTATTTTAAAAGAAAAAAAAGAAAAGAAAAAGAGAATGCTATGCAACGATAGCATTTGGAATTGAGCCATCCAGCCCCAGGCCCTCAAGTCCCAGCCCTTAAATGTGGGGCGAAATATCCTCTTTGGATAATGCCCCTCAAATATGGGCCGTAGAATCGCATTTCTGGTCAAGAGTCAAACCCCTTTCCCAAAACAAATCTCCTAAATAAAACTAGAGCACGGGGTTTGCCTACCCTGGCTCATGGGGTTAGGATGTAGAATCGGGATTTCGTTTTGTACAGAGTCTCCGATTTCGACGTCAGAATGATTCAAAATAGGGAGCATTTAAAAAAAAAATTTAAGGCCGCACCTTTGTCTTGTGTCCTGCTTTTAGTTGCATGGAACACCTATTTTTTTTCAATATTTTTCAAAAAGAGCACGAACCCAATTTTAAACCAGATCTCTGGCGACTGACAGACTGATCCTGATGATCATGACTCTCTGGAAGTTTGGTGCAAGTGCAAGTGCCCCAAGACAGTTGGGCACTGGGCAGTAGACATGTGGGCACTGGGCGGCGGCGGTGACTGGTGAGTAATGACTGGAAAGTGGGGACACTGTGACTGGGACGTTGGGCCGTTGGGCGTGGCCGCGTGGGCAATGATCCACAGGATCATCATATCAATGACATCATCAAACACGCCCTAACCCGCCTCCAAAAAAAAATAGTGCAATAAAAAAGGAGTGCGTGGTACATACTGGCAATAAAATTGGCCGATTCCCACTTGCGCAAAATTCGCGATCTCATCCTGTACCTTATTGGGTAACTCACTAAATTTTTAAATATCACCTGTAGCCTAAATATACTTTAGGCTGTAACCCAAACAAAACAGTTCCGTTATTTATAATAATAAAACCTTTTCAGCTTTCTATTTGTTTTCGAAGAAAATATTGTCTGAAAATATACACAGTGTCCTTCTAAATTAAACAATTTAGAAGGCTATGAAATATATGATATGTTTAAAAAAAAACATGTATACAGACATACCTCTTTATATTTCCAGTTCCCGGGATTGGCAAATATTTGGACATATAAAGAGGTAAGACAAGTCTGGGTCAGTTTTATACCATCAGGTTCGGGGTCCAACCTGTGCGGGGAGTATGGGTCACGCCAGGAGGAATTCTAGGCACTCTCATTAAATACTCCTTCCCTTTCGTGACGATCAAGCCCTGACTTACACTAAAACCAGCTTCTCTAACCTTACTGACCAACTCAATCAAACGCTTCTCAAGCTCGTGATGTGTTTATCTCATTTCTCGATATTTCCTTTTTGCATGTACCTCATAAGACTGACGGAGTATCTTCTCTCCGAACTCCATGAACCTTCTTATCCCCTACGATAATTGTCTTCCATGATAGGTCTAAGCTGTATTCCGCTTTCTAGATTGTACGCACGATGACACCTTTATCTTTGTTTGTTAGATTGATTCTTTTTGTTGTATTGGAGCTCACCTTTGATAATACAGTCTGTTTATATGTGCTTATCAAAAACCCTAAAACCCTGTGGTTTCGATCCGCCTGGTTCACTCGTTGTAGGTGCGTTTTGTGTCAATTCGTCTGGCTCTGTCTATCTGTTATTAGTGAAACCAGACTCCCACATGTCATTCGGTGGCTGGTATTTATCTGTAGACAGGCAGTAACCGATTGAATTTGAACTATACCCCTCACCAAGATGCACGCCACAAAAGGCATGCATACCTGCAACATTTGTGTACACCATCCACTGGGTGCGTTGTAGTGCATCCTTTCGCACAACAGCGCTCACCACTAGAAGTGTCTCCCATCAGGATCTATTGTAGTACTACTCTAGTGTATGTATTATAGATAAAGCTACCGCCAAGCTGGGGTGAAAGGTGAAATATTCACACATGAAAATCTCCAAGAGCAGGCTGCAGGACCGGCCTAAAAAGACCTGACTCATATATAGGGGGTTGGTCAAAATAGAATTTGGACATATAAAGAGGTATGACATTTTTTATAAAATATTACCGGTGCGGTCCGTCAGCGACCAGCGAGTGTCCAGCTTACAAGTTCCAACTTCCAGGCCATTTGTTGTTATATTTTTATGCTTGATAGTTTTTTCAATTTGTTTTAAGAAATTAAAAACCAAATAAAACCAAACAAATATAAAAGTTTAAAACTGTATGGAAAACCCTTTTTTTTAATTTCGGAGGGTTTAGGTCTATTTTTAGAATAAGGACAAGGGTTTTTAGCGTGTTGCAAAACATAGCCTCCAAAAAGATTAACTATTTACTAGTAAAATATCGATTTCAAATAAATATATTTTTAGAGCTCTTCCTTTCATCCGTTTGAACTTTGACATGTTCTTAGGTCTCTTGTGCTGTAGGCAATGAATATGCATTCTCGAGGATATTCCTACCTTATGATTGACTGTATGTCACGCATATTGTATCATAACTCTATTTTCAATTGGTTGCATAGATGAATTTTGCATATTTCAGTCAATAGAGGTACTTTTCCGAAATAAATCAATTTTCATGTTTTTAATTCAATCAGAAAGTAATTATTGAAATTTAGTATCCATACAGATAATTATTATTTTCAATGTTGATGGGGGTATCTTATGTATTTTCTAAAGGGAAAGTTTGGTTGGTCAGAAAACTACGCCACCTAACTTTTGAGAGCGTATTGAACATAAGTTATTATACTTTTGAGAGCGTATTGAACATAAGTTATTATACTTTTGAGAGCGTATTGAACATAAGTTATTATACTTTTGAGAGCGTATTGAACTTGAGTTATAAAAAATGCACGGCCCTCTGCCACTCTGGAATTTCGCGAGTAGAAATCAGGTTTCTTCCGACAACGAAATCATAAATTTAGCAGAAACTCTATCCAGAAGACGACTGTGAAAAATGCCGATTGCCTATTTTTTAATTAATTTTTTAAATTTGAGCACTCTCAGACTCCCACAGACTCACCGTCACTCAAGCAGCCTATTTCTTGGGGAAAATAATACGTGGACAAATCCAAAAAGGTAAGTGTCGCAAAATTGACTTCAAAATGAGACAGAAACATGTGGAGAACAGATTCTCAAAAAAAGCTCCCAAACCTGACACAGGTTTGCAGAAAAATACCTAGAATTAAGGTAAATATAAACAAAAAAATGTGTTTTGGGGTTGTTTTCCCGATTATGAATTTCAAAACAAAAAGGTCATCGAAATATCGCACACATCATGTGGTCGTAAGGATTTGGTCCATTTGGGTGTGCGAGAAGTTCGTGACTTTCGATTTCGAAAATCACCTCCCATTGTTAACCACACCAACAAGAGTCATCAACCCCAGGAATCTGTAGATGGTTCTGAAGGATACAATATATTGTCTAATTGTATAAAGTCAAGTACTGGTAATCACGTACATTTCAGTGTAATTCCAATCATATTTACTTCATCCCTATACATCTACGACCATGGATTTCTCCGCTTTAAATAATGAAGACCGAGTCTACATCGAGAAGGTGATGGAGAAAAAGCAGGTGCGTACCACACAAGTGTAAACTGAATACGTCTGCACGTTCCACATTGATTTTGTTTCATTATGACCATATATTTCATACAAATGCATATATATATATATATATATATATATATATATATATCACACACACATATATATATATATATAAGTATATATATATATATTTATATTTATATGTATTATATTTATACATATATATATATATATATATATATATATATATATATATATACATATATATATAGACATATATTTATATATATATATATATGTATACATATATATATGTATATATATATATATATATATATATATATATAAATATAAATACATATACATGTATATATGTATACACATATATACACATATATCTACGTATGTGTACACACACATACACACACACATATATATATATATATATATATACGACTGTTTTGCTTTTATGCATATATATATTGTATATATATATAAATATCATATGTATATTTATTTGTATAGTGTAAATGCAAATATTTATATATACTATATTTATGTATAGTTGTAAATGTACATATATGTATTTATGCCTACATACGCATGAATATACATATATATATATATTCATATTTTCACTCACACACACGCACACACACACACATATATATATATATATATGTATATATATTAATATTAATTATAATATAATATGATGTGCATATATACAGACGTATTCATTTATGTATGGCCACGGAGATATAGGTGAATATATATAAATGTTTCCATATCTATACACACATATATGCATGTTCACATTTTGTCTTGTTTTGTTGACGGGCTTGTGCGTGTCTATAATCATACTTGTCATATGCTTTCATGCATACATAATATATATACATATATACAAGTAGGTGAATTTCTGTGATTTGATTGTGAATAGGAGCTTGAATATGTATATATTTATATTTATATATCAAATAAAGTATATATGAAAATATATCTGTTTTACATATTTTTGATTGCTTACCTTGTAGCGTATACATGCGTGTGTATTCCTATAGCTCTGTGCAATAACGAGGTAGACAGATATAAATATACTGATAGTTTTTTCAAACTTGTGTGGTTATGTTATTAGTACAGATTTAGTGATGGTTTGTTTGTTTTATTTCTATAAGCATATATGTATATATATAACACACACA